GGCTTCTTACTAGTATGCGTTTTCTCTCGCAATTCCATTTTGTTTGGTCCATGTTTCACTACACATGTTCCTGCTCAGCTAAACTTGAATCTTGGGCATGACGCTAGTGGAAGCCCATTCTTTGCAGGCATTGCGGTAGCTCCTTTGGAGTACCATCTGAGCCAACTTCGTGAAAGGATGACTACTACCTGGTGGCTGTGAGAAATGGCACCTTCCACGAGAAACAGTACTTAAAGTTCCTCCAAAGCGATGCGTGGGTTATTAGTTACGCGTTAGCGGCCCCCGTTTCACCAAGTTTGCGATGGCGGCCTGCGCGAGAGAATAGGATTTTGTACTTTCCATGAGATTTAGGTACGGTTGCAGGAGGCCTGGGAAGCGTTCGCCATGAAGACGAAATCATATGCTCAACATTGTCTTTTTGTAGGGCTCCCGTATTGCAACGCTGATGTCTCTGATGGGCATGTTATACTAGGTGAGCCGTAGGGGAGGCTACTCATGCTTTGTATGTCTTCTTACAAGTACTGAAAATGCTTGTACGTTTAGATCATACTTGCTTGGGCGTTGGCGGTTCTGTCGCGGTCAACCGTCGAAAAAGGAAATGGTCATTAGGCTCTCTAGGGGCAAATCATCCCGCCCCTATGTCGAAGGCTGGTCCAAGTGGATGTGACGCCCTGACAACAGAGCATTTTTATGCAGGGTCAGGGGTCGAGGAAAATTCGTTCTGCCCGACTTGGAAGCTTTCCTAATACGAGACAGTGACAGGGTCTCAAAGACAAGAGATGAAAATCCAGGAACCTGGCTCGGGTTTCACTTGTTGGTGTCAGTCGCATTGAGGTTTTATCGTCCCTGTTTAGATGATGGAGCTTCGCGTCGTAAAGCTGCCTTCATTCGCTTGTTGACATGGCTGCGTAAAGTCCCCACAAGCCGGGGAAACAGACGAGAAATTCCGTTGAGCTGTTGCCAGTCATGGATGTTACGGAACGCTTTAGTATTCCGAAGCGGCCGCCGGCAGGATTCCGCAAAGAATTTTTTTTTATTTTTGACGACTCATCTGCCTTGACAATTCCCGTTGCATCGCTCTCCTGGCAGCACCAATAGTATCGAGTGTGCCGTGATGTGGTTTCCAGAGCATGAAAACCTGATCAATCCAGCGTCGAACGCCCACAAGTTTCGAATTGATATTGTACATGATTTCATTCTTCTTGAACAAATATTGATCAACTACCCGTGAAGAAAGTACCGCGTGGCTCTGTCGATCGGAACAACACGGTAGGGCTCGCGTCATTGACTGTACAAGATGGAGATGGAACCTGCTCGAATCAGTGCGTAGACATATTATTATGATAGCCGTATTAGAAACAAACTTCCACCTCCCAATGTTGCCATAACCCACATACAAGCCCATTCTCACGTGTTGACAGCGCCCATCCATGAAGCCGCCTCGGAACGGGCCAAACAGCTGCCACAAGCTCCGTATCCGCCCGCCCTCGGCGGATGTCATCAGATCACTACTCGGTGCAAACTGTTGTTGTCAAACGGGATAATTGATTATCAGCCCCCCAGTTGACCTACTATTCAAGTTCCGAACGAGTTGTTTATTGATATGTTGATGTCATTGAAAACAGCGGCGTTGCAGGGTCCGACACCCGGCGAAGCACGACCTCTTTCATCCTTTAGACATGCAGTGGGCTCGTGGTTTTTCGAGTCTGTGTTCTCGCCAGAAAGACACGGGGCAACTTACCGACGATGAAAAAAGTCCGGGGTAAAGAGATAGTAAATGGTTGGGTGCCCACCCCCTCAAAAAAAATCGACGGGTTTTGTGTTACTTAAGCGGATGTGCCGATTCTTTGAAGGGGACGGGCGCTAAAACCTTTCCATGGCCTAGATGGTCTTCCTGCTCGTTTGGTGCACCTCGTTCAAAGAAAGCATTGCTGCCCGGCGCCGTCCGGCTTGTTTTTCCTGTAGGGACAAATGTAAAGACAACCAACCCGCGGCAGGCTCTATGGTGCAAGGATACCTAGTCGCACGAGGCCACCGAGCCCCAGACAGCAAAGCGCATTGCTAGAAATAGCAGGGCACTGGCCCCTTTCTGTTACGTTGCCGTCCGTCGCTGCCACACCCACAAATCTCAAGTGCTAGCACCCTGGTTGCTGGCCATGTCCCCAATGCAAGCGTGCTTTCTTTCCCCAGACTTTTTTTATTTTGGAAGATTCTGGATTCTGGAATGTTTGCTTGGCCCATTTCATCGTCAAGCGTCGGGCCTAGGGTAATAAAATAGCCACGGCCGTTTTTTATTGCGTTTCTTTTTTCTTCTTTTCAGATAGCGAGCGGCGGCACTCTATTCACCGGCGAGCAACTAGTATTGCGAAGACAGAGACGAAATAAAAATTAACGTACGTCTACTGCAACATTGCGGCTCGCCCATGTGAAGGTCTGTGGCCCTGTGTTGGTGGAAGTCTGATTAAACAGGCTGGCCCGGGCGAATGTTGCTCCAACACATTTCCGCAGTCGTCGGGGCAGGTCCTTGGGGGCGAGAGTGATAAGAAAGGATGGTTCTAGGGCCAGTTGGCTTCTGATGTGGGCGACTCTGTCTGGTCTTTGAATCATGATTCCTGCATGCGCCCCCAGCTGAGCCTTCGCTGCGATGAGTCAAGCGTGCGCGAGGTACCTCCCCCAGGCAGATGTGCGTTTGGATGCGTGTCAATGGCGGCGGGAGCAAATCTCTGCATTCGCGTTCCTTCGCAACTAGCTCCCAACAACTTCTTGCCTTGTTACTCCGCATATCCTGCGCTCCGTACTCCGTTGACGGGTCAGAGCTGTTGGGTCCAAATCATGGCGGCTGGGTGTCGTCGTGGACGCAGTAAGGCAGCCAGGAAAAAGGGATGCGTACCTGCAGGCTGCGTGCTAGCATGCCTGACTGTTTGGCAGGTTCCAACGTCCGGTTTGGCGCAAACACCTTGTAACTCATCTTTCATCTGCTGAGGGCAACGTGTCGTGTGCCTGCAACCCCAGATTGCAGGTGCTTGTGCCAAACGAAGAGACCGACCTCCTTAGGCCTCGACTGGCTCAACCAGCTGCTTTTTTAGGGATCGGTTGAAGGGGCCTTTGGGGTCTCGTCCCCCC